TTTTTTTTTTTTTTTTCCTTTTTTCTTTCTGTAAACAAACTACTTCCTTCAGCAGCTAACTTCTTGGAGATTCTCCCTTGTGGATGAAGTACTTTGCAGTGAGAGGAAGCCAAACCAGAGTAACAAATGCTCATGTTAAGCTTGTTACAGAATTTAACTGAGCAACAGAAACGGTTAACAAGATTAGGCCTTTATAGACTAAAATTGAGGGTTTAGACCATTATTTACACCACAGAAGCATTAAGTACTTGCAGAGGCTTATAGTTTAAACACAAGGATTTTGTACAGCAAGGTATCTGTTTTAAGGTTTCATTTGCAGCTTGTTTGATTTTGTTTTATGCTATTGATAGTAGCAGTCTTCTGAGATGGGTATAGTGAGTCTGTCACAGAGATACAAAATGCAAGTTAGCTGTCTACATATTTTTAACAATTAAAAATAGAAAACATATGTTTAAATTAAACATGAGAGTTTGCTTATTATAATCTATATTCACTTTATTCTCATAGCGGAAAAAAATAAATATATAAAAATTGTTGCTTTTCTTGTGAAGCCATGAGGAATGCTGTGGTTTATAGTAAGATTAAGCATAGGTTTAGGAAGAGGTGGGCAGAGCATTTGAGGAGGCCTGGGTTGTGGTGAACTTGGCTCTCATGTACTCAGTGTATCCATGGCCCATGAGTGAGATCTGGAAATAGCTCTGGGCTTGTTCAGCCTTCCCTTTTCAGAGTTCTCCAGAACTTTGCCCAAAGCTGGATCCATGTTTGTATCTAACCAAAGTGAAAGTTAGTGTAGGTTAGACCTTCCTCCAAAAGTGGATCCTAAAATGCACCTGAGTCAGAGTAGCTGAGGGGGTTCAGATGTGAGTAGTGAAGGTGTAGGACATAGTGAAATGGGAGAACAAAAGATGGAAATACTCTGTCACTAATGTGCAGTAATAAGGATGCTGTTTTACTCCTGTAAATGGTAGAGGTTGTGGTCTCTGAAAGGTGAGGAGATGGCATTACCAGTATTTTCCCTGTGTTGTGTTTGGGCTCAATTTGTAGGTGCTATGTTTTAAGGCCTACATGGACATAGCAATTATAAACTGTAATCAATTAAAATTTAAATGTCAAATTGATACTAGTTTGCAACGATTAGTTCTACAGAAAGGATAAAACATTATATGAGGTGATGAATTAGCCTTCATTTGTGTTGACAACTACAGTTTGGGTTTGATTGTTTATTATATTTCATAATGTATCATTGTATTTTTTAATGTAATCGAGTAACACTGTTAGACTGTCACTCTGCCATTCTTGCTAGACCCTGGGAGGAAGAACAGCATTTTTGTTACTATGTGCTTGGCACACGTGTGCATTTCTGTTAGAGTCCCTAACCGTGTTATCAAAATAAAAACAACCGATAACTTTTTTTTTTCCCTCTGGGAGATAAGGAATCAAACCTTCAATAATGTTGAAAAAAATAATTTAAGCTACATGTTTAATGGTCGCAGTGAATTTAGAGAGCACACTGTAGTGCCCAGTGCCATGTGTTACATCTGACATACTCTTAGCCTTTTTGCGTGAAGGGCCAGAAGTAGGTTTTGATAAGTTTAAAATAGGAACAATAAGTGCAAAGCATGTTAGATCTTAAGAGTTTCAGAATTCAACTGTCCATCCTGTCTATTGTGGCCCCTTCTAGCAATGACCATTTAATTTCTGTCTACTGAAGCCCCTTCAACTATTTCCTAAGCTGCCTGGACTCCCTTCTTATTGTGATACACTAAAATGGAGCCAGCAGCTCCGGCCTGCAGAAGAGCATCCAGGAGCCCATCTGTACCCACTGACATCACTTGCCAGCCTCTGCAAACCGGCAAAGGTTTGTACTCTGCTCAGCAGGGAAGAACTCTTGCTGCAGTAACCTAACCTGCTCTTTTTCAAAACGTGGCCATCCGCTGCAGGCTGATGGAGCTGCTGCGCTCCCAGCTGCACAGCACACAAGAGGTAGGCGTTTTGTTGCCTTTCAGCCACCCAGAGTCAGCACTGGCAGTCATACTCTGTGCTTGTAAATCTGTAATTCACATTTATGAGGATATTTACTTCTCTGCATAGGTTCAAGGTGCAAGTTTTCGGGGTTGGAAGGAAGTGACGTCTATGTTCAATAAAGATGATGAACAGCAATTGCTAGCAGGATGCAAGTCTCCAAAATCCAAAGGGTGAGTAAAACCAGTTGGTCTATCTGCTATTAAAGTACACAAACTGGAAAGGAAAATAGCTGTGCAAAGTAGTGATAGTAGACAGAGAAGCAGTAGTGTTCAATACCTGGAAGTTAAATCACAGAAAAATGTTTATGTGCATTTCAAAATTATGTATATATAAAGCTTACAATGAATAAGGCATGATGTATTAGGAAAGGATGGATATTGTTGATAACCTTTTTAGGTCTGTCTGGAAGAAAAGGGACTTTAACTGCATATTACATTTTACTGTAGAAAAGGAGTAAAGTTTTCTCAGTAAAAGGGTCATTCCCACCCTCCCCCTTTCCTCTTAAGGGATAATTATGGTTCAGTGTCTTGCCTACACCTAAAGAGGTTAAGTGGAGTACCTATACCAGGATCTGCAGGTCTTCCCTGCCAGAGCTGAGATGTTTACTCAGAATGGTTCTGCTGCCCAGACTGTTAGAGCTGTTTTCTCTGTCTCTTCCCAGGACAGACTCTTTTGCTGTTACACATATATGTAGGCTTTACCTACATATACTACCCAGCTACCTTGGTTACAAACAGGACAAAATGTGCCACTTACCAGTATAGGTGTTCCAGCCAAATATTAGCTTTGATAAGACTTACTGTAATATGTTTTGTGTCCAGTTTTCTTTGAAATATATGTATTTCAGCATGCAAAATTGTATGTGTGCAGGGTGAGTGCATGTGTGTGTGTGTATGTGTATGTATATATATATATATATATATATATATATATGATAACT